TCCAATTCCCACAGAGATTCGATGGCATTCACTGCCATGATCGATATGCCAATTGTAATGTGGTCTTCTTTTGATGTAAGCTAACAGAGTAATAAAACTCAAAAACTCAACTTGTAAACTAGCCGTCTAGCCATTATGTAACTTAGATGAAATTAAATAATTAATACTACAATTTCGAACTCTTCTATGCATAGTTATAGGTGAAAAATCCATGTGATTTATGTGCTTGGATCAACATGAAAGATCTAGATGGGATCCAATGGTCGGTGTATGTTTGAACTGGATGTGCTTTCAACCGCTAGCCTCTCTACGGTTATGACCCCCTAAGACTCAAAAGCACCCAAACATGACATGAGACTTCTGTCTGTCTTGGTGCTGCTGCTGTTGAGGTGGCTCGAGGAAACCCAAGGCAAAGAAGGAAGATGGAGAACAAAGGTTGAAAGGATTTTTCAGAGAAGAAGAAAAAAGATATAATGCATTGCATTGAAATTAAGATAACAAAGATAAACAAATTTTTGTTGATAATTTATTGCAGAATAAGGTAAATTCAGTGAAAGATATTAAGCTGCATTGCAACTGTAAGTAAAAGCAAATAGGACTTGCATAAGCAGCAAACTGAATGCAAAATAAGATGTGTATTGCAGATATTTAAAATAAAAAGATCTGCACCATCTAAAACATATGACCAACGTAAACTGCACCGTGATATCATCCAAAAAAGCATTCACCCATCGCATCTTATAATCTAATTGGTAGAATCATTGTAATACTTGACAATTGATTTGCACATAAATTATTTCACTATGGCAAACATGTACTATAGAAGATAAAAGAACACATACTAATCTGAGGCTCTAATTTACAGTGCTTTGAGTTAAAAATGTACGCGTAACAGCTAATCTATTTCCCTATGAAAGTAAATACGAGCACGCTTTAAAAATGTCACCTTGGGCATTGCAGTTTAGTATGTATGGTGTTCTATCCAATGGCATCGGAAGGAAATGTATTTCGATAATTATCAAATCAAAACCACAAGACCTTACAATCTATGATGTTGAGAAAAAAAAGAGATATAAGATGGGTTTTTACCTGGAGTTTGATGGATCTTCTCCTTCTCTCCACTTTTCCTCTATCTCCAACTCTCCCTGTTATCTATTAAGCCGGGACGAAAGAAAGAAAGAGAGGGTTCTGGTCCCGGGACCTCCGTCATAACCATTCAAGGAAAGAATATGAGAAACAAGTGTTAGTGTGTCACATCTGTGTTCCTTACAAGGATCAAAGCGACTTAAACATTTGGCAAACAGCGTACGTTCTGTCTAGAGTGTAAATTGTTTTTGAAAGTCCTCTACAAAACCACACTGGAGAGTGGAGGACTGGAGAGTGGAGATCAATACCATAGCACCCAACTATGGAACTATTTTAAACTTTTCATGATAAAAATCAATTGAGTTACTTAAGGCTCTTCAAAGCTCCTAAAAACTACAGGTTTCTCGGATTACCTGAAGCTCAAATTGTAAACAAGAATGAGATCTAGCAAATTCCGGTAACCATACCTTCAAATAAAACCACAAAAGCACGGAGTCAGACTAACAAAATAGTTCGGAAACAAATTTCCTTTTAGCAAAAGATGAAACAAAAACTCACCAAATCTGTAACGAGCAGATTACACATCACCAACATCAACAGGACAAATTCTTCATGTACCTAACGAAAGATCAATAGAGCAATATCCATGAGGAAACTTCAAGGTAATGTAGAACCCAACTGTGCCAAAAAGAATAATGATGCGTTAGGAGCCTAACTTAAAGAGACAGGGAGAACTGAACAAACAACTATGTAGCACGAGGAATGCTGGTGCCAATCTGGACTGCGGTACGTGTTGTTAAACATGCATATCTTGTATACTTTTAGAATTCACCATTTATCACGTCCGTGATCATGTAGAAAGTGCACCAAGCATTTTATGGTACAACAAATTCAAAGAAATCACCAGTCACTGTTTTAAACTCTTAATGCCAGTCGTATTTAACGACAGCACGAAAGAAAAGTAGTTAACAAGAGAACTCACAGAGTTTGTGATGAGGACAAGAAATGGCAATTTCCCTATTTTGAAATTTGAATTTTTGAATTGTAATTTAATTTTAGTAGTTTAGATTTGAATTTCGAATTAGGTCTTAATTTGGTAGTTGAGTGATTTGAGGGATTTTTATTTGTTTCCAGTTTGTTTGCACGTTGTGTGCACGTAGTAGTTCTCCTTATAAATAAGGTTGTATGGGACTTGAGAATTATTGATTGAAATTGAATGAAGAAAATCCTGTTAGCTATTATGGTGTGAAACCTATGGGTGTGAAACCTATGGGTGTGAAACCCTAGCCGACTTTTCTTCTTTTCTTTTTCCCAGACGGCGTACTCCTCTCCATTTTCCACATAAAGCAACTCAGCCACCCAACTCCAGTCTCCTCTTCGTTCTAAAAACAACCGCTCAACCTTTCCCTCCCCTTGGCCGCCACTACTATTCTCCCTCCACAAGCAACTGCGCCTAGCAACCTCTCCTCCTTCCTTTGCCCAGCCTCCATTCCTGCCCATCCTCAGGCACCGTCACATCAGAGCCACCCCCGCCACCTCGGTTTCCTCCTCCACAGCCGGCAACAACCACCAGTTCTCCTACTCCAAACAGTCCACCGCCGCCCTGACCTCACCCGGATCCCGAGTCCCCTGACCTCGCCTTCGTCACGTCGTCTTCAGGTCGACACCATTGCTCGCGTCACTGTCCAGAAAACACCACCGTCATCATCGCCGCTCAGTTCATCATCGTCGACGCTCAGTTCGTCACACCGTTTGCGCCCTCTCGTCGCTGCTCTCGTCATCGTCGGATCTAGCACCCTCTCGCCGACCTTCGTCTGCGTTGTCGTCAGAGCTCTTTTCGTCGCTGACCGCCATCATCCTTCGTCATCATCGAACGACAATTGCCTCCTCTTCCCTTCGGATAGAGGTCACACTGAAAGAGGCCTTTCGGATCTGTTTATTTTGATCAAACCCGACCATACTTCATGTGGGTCTGATTTGCTTTGGTTCACACCCGAACTGGGTTTAAGTGGACCTGATTTCCTGCTTAGATCCAACCCACATGCCTGTTAATGCTTCACATTTGATTCACAGCCGGTTCAGTCCGACGACGATATCGTTTTCTTTCGACTCGGTATTTTTTCTGTTAATTTTAATTTATTAGTTAATTGCATGAGTAACACCTCTAAATTCTTATCATATATTCACTGCTTAGTTCATACTTGTGAGTTGAGAGTAACTGAACATGTGACTGCTGCAATTCTGATATTAATTTTAGAACTTTGTGAAATGATAATGAATACTGCGATTAAATTATTTGAGATTGGAATTGTTCATGATTATCGTTGCAAATCTTGTTAAAATCCATATGTCACATTAATTGTTTAAAATTAATTTCCTGCCGAAGATTTAATTTTGGCGAGACGGTGTCTTGTTTGATTTAGATCGTTGATTCCGATAGGCCCCTGCCCCATTTCGCATCACTTTGGGAGTCGGTTTTATGAATCCCTAAGTGCCTATTCATCAATGCATTACAAAAACTCAATTACCAAAACCGAGTAAAACCCTCCATGCAGAATAAAAATGTAGATGATTTATATGTAATCTCATATGGCACTTTGAGAGCTCTATCTCCTGGTTAAATAATAACAGAATCTAGAGCATTAGTAAGAAAGAATGAAGGCTATTTTAATCTAATTATAGAATATAAGATACCAATTAAGAAATATGCAGTCACTTCTCAGCAAAGTAATTTCTCTGCCAAACAAAATAATGAGAAAAGGAAGGCAACGTAGATCAGATCAGAACAATTAAAGGTATTTAGAAAGAAAAACAAGCACAAAAAATGGAATTAGTCTTTTAGGTACCGTTTGGCAAATGATTAAGTGAGGGGTTAATGAGACTTAACCCTTTCTTAACCTGCCAAATAAAAAACATCTATACAATGGTTAAAGTGAGTTAACCCTTCATAATTTGCCAAACATAAAAAATATAGAAGGGTTAAGCTAACCCCTCTAAAGGGATTAAAATGAGTTAACCCCTTAAAATGAGGGGTTTACTAATACTCCTATTTAGAAGGATTAAGAGTTAACACTTCTAATTATAAAGAAAATAGTCAAAATTATTGTTATTCCCAAACACTAAAACTAATCACAATGACTAAAATAAAACTTATTTAACGGGTTAATAATTTAGTCTTTCAGATTATCGAATGGGCTAAGTATATTAATCCTTCTTTTTAACCCCTCTTCCTTAACTCTTTGCCAAACGGGGCCTTATGTAATTCAACCAAGCCGAGGACAATACGGCATCACCTCCCCATTTGATTTGCACCCTTTCATCATCATCATCATCATCATCATCATCATCATCTCACTCTCTTTAATTCAAACCAGTTAAAAAGTACAAAATCTATAACTTATAAATGGCGTAATGATTTCCCAAAAAAACACCCTAAAAGTTTGGAAAAATACAAAAAAAACCCTAAAATAGTCAGACTTCAACAGAATCATGCTTAGAAATATCAAAACTTTCAAACAGTACAAAATCTATAAGTTTTAAATATCACCATAGAAAAATTGAAATTTGCAAAATGACATCTAAAAGTTTCAAATTTGCAAAATATGCCCTCTAAAAGTCAAATTTTATAACAACATGCCCTAGAAATATCAAAACTTACAAACAGTACAAAGTCTATAACTTATAACAACAACGTATTGCAAAAAACACCATGAAAGTTTTAAAATTACAAGATACACCCTCAAACAATTAAATTTTAAAGAAACACACCCTCTTAAATATCAAATTTTACCAACTAAACAAAATTTATAACTTATAAATGGCAAAGACAAATTTTTGAAATTTAACTGAACATGTCGTGAAAGTTTCAAAATTGCAAATACACCCTCGAATCAAATTTACAAAAACACACCACAAAATATCAAACCTTTAAAATAGCGCAAACTCTATAACTTATAAACAACAACGTGAAAATTTTGAAATTCGTAGAAAACACCTTTGAAGCTGAAAAATCACTGGATGCAGTACAAGGAAGCAACCAAATTTCAAGACACTTTGTATGCGCACTATGGTCAGCAGTTCTATCGAGAGTGCAACATCTCGGGCACTGTAGACTTTATCTTCGGTGATGCCTCCGACATCTTCCAAAACTGCATGATCTACGCCAAATTGCTAATGCAAGAGCAAGACAATACCATCACAGCCCACGGTCGTGACAAAAAAGCGAGGCTACAGGCTTTTTGATGCAAAATTGTTCCATCCTATCGTGGCATGACCTTGCTGCCAACAACGGGTCAGTCAAGACGTACTTGGGTCGACCGTGGAGGAATTACTCAACCACGGTGTACATTAGGTTATATATGGACAGGATCGTCAATCCAAGTGGATGGAGGAATTAGTCAAATGGCGACAATCCGGCATTGTACAAGGTGCACTATGACGAGTACGCAAATTATGGGCCGGGAAATGGGACGCAACAAACAATGATAAATTGGCCGGGATTCCACTGGATGCAGTACAAGAAAGCAACCAAATTTTGAGTTTCTCAGTTTATAAATGGGAGTCATATGGGATTCTTGTAGAAGGCAGCCACTGACTCCCATTTGTAAACTGAGAAACTTAAAATTTGATTGCTTCCTTGTACTACATCCAATGAAATCCCGGCCAATTTATCTTTGTTTGTTGTGTCTCATTTCCCGACCCATAATTTGCGTACTCGTCATAGTGCACCTTGTACATTGTCGGATTGTCGCCATTTGACCACTTCATCCGCTTGGATCGACGATCATGTCCATATATAACCTAATGTACATCGTGGTTGAGTAATTCCTCCACGGTCGACCCAAGTACGTCTTGACTAACCCATTGCTGGCAGCAAGGTCGTGCCACGGCAGGATGGAACAGTTTTACATCGAAAAGCATGTAGCCTCGCTTTCTTTGTTACGGTCGTGGGCTGTGATGGTATTGTCTTGCACTTGCATTGGTAATTTGGCGTAGATCATGAAGTTTTGGAAGACAACGGAGGCATCACTGAAGATAAAGTCTATAATGCCTGAGATGTTGCACTCTCGATAGAATTGCTGACCATAGCGCGCATACAAAGTGTCTTGATATACGTCAATGGCACAACGGTAGAATGCGACGAAACCAACATCGACGCGCAGCGCCACCGCCTGGCCCTTGGATGCACCGGTTGTGTTCTTGAAACAGATGTCTTGGGCTATAAAGCCTCGGCCCGAGATAGCTGAAATTAATAGAAGCATGGTTAGACAACTAATTGACCTAATCATGAAACTGAGTACACCACTACTGCTAACTAATATACCATAAAACATCTTTCAGTGTAGAGAAGAGATGCATGATTAGTGATGACTGAAACACAACATAAACATTACTACCTTATTAATTATGCATAAAGTTTTTAGCCAGTAACATCGACTTAGAACCCAAAAGTTTTTGTCAAGCATTAATGGGATTCTTTCTACTAATTTGCAATCTATGTTAAAGTTTATAGAGAAGCGACTCTGACATACCATACAAAAGATATCCAAAGGTGATGTATAAGTGTGATTAGTGATGATGGAACTTTATCAAGGAAACCACATCGAAACAACTACCAACTTTTTTAACTATGCATAAGATTTTGAAGCCAAAATTGTCTAGTTAGTAGTCAAAATCTTTGCACGACACAAGATAAGATTCACTTAACACTAATTCATAGTCAAAATAAATTCTTTCAGAGTATGAGAAATAGTTACTCATTATCATTCACATTATAGACCTTTTCAACGTATAAGTAGATTCAACCAAGAATAAGTGCTGCACTAACAGAAAACTAAACTAAACATGATCAAAATGAGTTCATATTATAAACATGTTCAACTACTGTACTTCACCCCCATTCAAAATCAAGCTCACAGGAAGTAAAAATTCAACCTTTACAATTCACCCACGCGAAAAATCATAACTTTAAGTAGTTAAGACACAAAAACTACACACCCAAATCGAAATCCAAACCAAACTCATCAGTGAGCATAATGATCAGATATAATATGCAATTCTGAGCTCCATACAGAACAAAAATAGGACATGAGAATTTCGAAAACTTACACCATTTTGAAGAAATCAAGAATATCGACCCTCTCAATTTGTTCGAAGCAATGACTTGGGGGCTAAGGCTACGGCGAAGAGGAAACTTGAGAAAGAGACCAGGTGAAGAGGTCAAGGCGGGCAGCGACTACTCGCCGGCGGCTGCGAAGTGGGAACGGGCGGCGAGGCGTGGAGCGGCTAGTTGGGGCGGAGGAGAGGAGGGGGGAGGGTCGTCTGGCCAGATCTGCGGTGAACGTCAGGCTGGGAGCGCGCGGCGCTGGAGGGCTAGAGGGCAGGCGATCGAGGCTGACCGCGGCGCTGAGATCCAGATACAGGCTCGGGCTGAGCTCCGAGGGCGTAGGGGCTCGTGGCTGGCAGAGCCAGCGAGGCTCAGTGCTTGAGCGCAGGCCGACGATCTCGGCTCGCGGAGCGCCAGGACGAGCGGCAGGGATCTGGGTGAATTCGGATTTTGGTTAGTTTTTGAACGAGAGGGCAGGTACGCGAATTTATTGTAGCCGCGTTTGCAGCCTGGAGGGCTGAGATTTACTGAGTTATGTTGAACTGACGGAAATCCCGAACGGACGGTCCAGATCGCGCATCCTTAGGTTCGTAACCATACATATTTCCCTATATGCGTAACAATGGATCTAAAGGTGACTCCCTAGCTGCAATCTAAGGATCGTGATCTAGAGTCGTTGGCTTTCCAAAAACCCCAAAATCACTTTGGCGTCGTTCAAAACACTCCCAAAATAACCTACCCATTTTCGCATCTCCCCGCTCAGGATCTTGCCAACCCCTCCTTCCTCTCACCGCCCGAACGCCACCATCGGAGCTCACCGGCCGAAGCTACCTCACCGTCGACTCCGCTCGCCCTCAAATCCCCTCGACCTTGCCATTCATCTCCCCCCCTTCCTCTCCACCGCCCGAATCGCAACTCCGGAGCTCCCGACCTCAATCCGCCTCAAACCTCGCCAAGCTCCCTCGCACCCGCTCAGCACTCGCCCTCGCCATTAGCTGTCTCCATCGAAATGTAAGTTGACGCCCACCGCCGTGAGCTCGTCATCTCGAGCCCGTGAGCTCATCATCTCGAGCCCGTGAGCTCATCATCTCGAGCTCGCCGTCGTCGCGAAGCCCTCGCATTCTAACTCAGACTCGCCCTCGCCATCCCCTCGCTCCCGCTCAGCCTGCCCTCTGCCCTCGACCTCGCCGCCGTCGAGCTCAGCCCACTTCGCCACCGTGTAGCTCGCCCACGTCGAGCTCATCTCTCAGGTCTCCGCAAAGCGCTCAATCACAGTTATGGAATTTTTAACTTGTAATTCTTATAGATTTTGGGTCTCTGTGTGCGTGTGTGTATGTTTGTGTGTAGCATGTTCGTTGCACGTTGGTATATTTTTCTAAAATTGTATTGAACTAAAAATTTCCAAAAAAATAATTTTAGCAAACTAATAATCTTTTTTATTTTGCATGTGTTTGTTTTCATGTTTATTTTTATCTTGAAACTTTTAAATGTGGATGTGTATTTTATATTATGTTTCTTTTACTTGTTTTAGAATAACGATCATGTTAAATATCCGAAACCATTGCTCAAAATCAGATACTAGAGGGAACCATCTTTTCCTAAAATAAACCCAAAATGAAGTCCATATAATTCACTAATCTTGTTCGCCTGCTTAAAGGATTTCCAATCAACAAACAGCAAGGGGGGAAACCTACAGTAAATACAGAACTTAATCATGCTCGACGCAAATCCTAGGTTTGGCAATTTCTCGGAACAATCTCAAAACTAATTCATCATCCCCAAAGCTAAAATTCAAACAAGTCATAAGATCACAAAACAAGCGACCAAAACGAGAAATTTCATAAACCCTAAGGCTTCAAACATAGTCTCAGCAAACTGGATGGTACCTAAAACCCTAGAAATTGAATAAAATGAACATAGCCAAAATAAAAAGCTAATTTTTTTGGGAAAATAGTACCTTGGAAGAGGTACTTACAGATCTCCTGGCAGTTCTTCTTCGGGATGATCTGAAGGAAAGAGATCGAGAGAAGAATATGTAAGCTTTTAAACAATGAATAGATCGAGCAATGAAACCTTAACCCTAAATTTTTTAGCTTACCATTTTGTTGATGATCGCCGGGGAGAGAGAGGGAGGAATGAACACCGAGGAACTGACGCAAATATTAGACGGAGAAAATAAACCCTTCTTATTATTCATGTATTTATTATTTACTAGTATGCCACACGTGCTTTGCACGTGATGCATATTAATAAACTACAAGAGTTTAAATATTGAAGGTAAAGTAATTTTTCACTCATCAATTTTACAATTAGTTATTAAATACATTCTTCACATAGATTATATAATACACGTGCATGCTACGACGCAAAGCGTGAGATAGAAAGAATTCCCAACTAATGACAGAAATGGCAAAAACCCATCATTTAAATAGTATACATACATGGTGACATTTTATTAGTCTTACTGTGACATTACTTCATCGTGTATTTGAACCGATGGTTTAAGTACAATCACAGACGACTCAAACCGATTGAACACACAATACTCTTACAAAAACTGCAGCAGATAGTGGGTCGTTGCAACTTAGTTTATACAAAAACTATTGATTACATCCTTATGCACAGCTCTCCACCACAGGGCTATTATTAGCTCATTATACAAAAACCAGGCTTCTTGCAAGATCGAGGGTTTTTTCATGGCCAAAGAACTTATCTACTATGGCCTGCACAAACTCCATGGAAGTCTCTGGCCCTCTGTTAGTGATCAGGTTTCCATCAACCACCACCCTATTCTACATTCATATTGATCAGAAAGCTTGCTGCACATTGCAAGGTATGCTTTTACCTCCTTACCCTTAAAAAAGAAAATCAGAAAAAGAAAAAGAAAATATAGAGAATATTATCTGTAAGACTAACAAATGGTTGATTCAATCACACACAAGGGTGAGCCTTGAAGTCGAACTTTGAGTAAACCATGTGGCTCAAGCGCTAGAGCTGGAGAAGCACATATTGCCCCATACAATTTATTTGATTCAGCCTGCTTTTTCAGCAATTCAACGAACTTTGCCGAGTTTGTGAATGCTTGTGCACCAGGAAGCCCTCCCTGCAAACAAAGTAAGAGGAAGTAAATATAAACTTACTTACATATGTACACATGGTGAAGAGTTTGATGTTCAATGGCTATATTAACTGACCGACAGAACACTTAGGTCATTTTGTAATTTAACAGCCTCATCCAAAAGATTATCTGCTACTATTTTCACTTTTCTAGATGCTACAATTTTTAATCCATCTTTAACTATCGCCACAACAACATTAGCTTTGGCTCTACGTAGAATGTCGATAATCATTACTGCCTCCATTTCTTCTGATCCGTTAGCAATGGCACAAGTACCTGCGACAGAAAGGTGCAAAAGTAATTAAAAGCTCTGCTGGAAAAATAAAAACAAGAACAAAAACACCACCACCAACAGCAACAGTAAGTATAATAGTTTGTTAATATTTGGTGAGTGGACATACTCGGCAACTGAAGCATACTCTTGATTCTAATTCCTAGCATGACATTTGAGTAAAAACTATGATATTCCAGAAATTACAAAGCACTAAAAGTAAATTTCATTCGACATGAACACATAAGCAGTTGGTGAAATAAAACTGAGGAAAATGATTAAATTTATATAACTTACAAAGGACAAGATGCTATTTTCACAGATCATCTATGACCATCAAGATGGTAAAAAAAGATACTGCAAAGGGACAAAAGGCTTATTATACATGTTCTTTAAATGCATAATTATTTATCAGGAATTCCTGATTCTCAACTAATCTGATGTCTTAATAGTCAAGTTTCGCTACATTCCTCCAAGATAGTATAGACTGCTTTTTTTTCCGTTGTGTATCATGCATTCTGTTTCAACTCAAAAAGGTCAATGCCAGTCGTCCAGTTTAAATACTTTGATGGATCACAAATTCACTCTAGAGTTAGTTGTGAGGGAAAAAAAGGATGGGAAGAAGTATGGTAAGGACATAAAAATGAAGGTGAACAGAACAGAGATAAAGCAGAAATTAAAGGAAGCAAAATGAATAAGAAAACTAAAAAGACAAATGCCAAACAAAAAATACCAGACACTGTTGGATTATTGAAAGATGAAGGACAACAAACTAAAGAGAAAGGACGTAATCATGCATAAACAGAAGAGTATGGTTTACCACATGAGAAAATGTCAATTATTAATACTACCTATATTTCACCCTCTAGAATTAGGACGTGAAATATATAATAATTTTTTACATATAGTGTAAACATTTAAACCTGTTTTTATTTCCCACCGTATTGAATCAATACGAAGGATAGAACGAAGACAAGACACAGTTGATTTCATTGTAACTCAAATTCATATGCAGATTTGTGCCTCTAAAATGAATTCACCAATTGTTTATAGTAGCAATGGACTTATAAATGACAGATTTAGGTTTAACACATAACCCATAACATAATAGTGAATATTAGTTTACAGATCTGCTTCAAGAGCAGAACAAGGTGTTTTTCTGCGACGATAGTGATAACTACAAAGTATTCTAGAATTAAGTGAACTTGAAGAATTGAGCAGCTAGAAATTTAAATAATTAAGGATCATAAGACTTCCATAAAGCTGTATACATCAAGTAACAAGCCACAATTATATATGTGTATATATATACACAAATTAATAGCAATCATGATTTACGAATTAAGTATAGTAACCTCAAGTCAAATAGAAAACTTAAATTTCAAGGCAAAAAAATCATGTAAAGATCATAAGTCAAACGAGCAATTCAGTAGATCTATGCAATTTATAAATTAAGCTGGTTAAGTTCAAATTTTGGCATTCTATTATGCAATAAGATACCTGAACATTCAACCAAATTGCAGGGGGCTGGACAGAAATAACATCTCCAATCAAAGGGATTTTGCTTGACATATCAAAGGCACTTGGTCGAGAGAGTATATTCTAAGAAACTTCAAGAAGAACGTAACAGTAATAAACGAAAACTACAGACTATTATGAAATTGCAATTAGAGAAAAAAAAGAAATTATTACAATCATACCTTCCATCTTAGTATGAAGTAATATTTTCTTTGAATTTTGAATGCTTTATCTTCTGAGAAAATTTTTATGGTTGTAATCTTATCATTGCAAATCATAGTATCAATTAATCTACCAGTAGTGAATTTAAATATAGGATCGAAGGAGAAAGTAACTCAATAAAGGATAAAGTATGGTATGAAAATACTACAACATTAGCAATGATGTTACATCAGATCTCTTCGCAATTTGAGTACCACCACACTTTTTCCTATTAACACATATCCATAACAAAATCTAAATATAAAACTGAGAAATCCAATAAAGAACATAGTTGATAACTAATTTTATAGAAATATGAAAAACCTAGCAACAAATATATCATGAAAAACTTTCTTTGCTACATAGGATATGTTTGATTCATAATACTTTAAACAAACAAACATTATCTAAAATGTACTTATCAAAATCAACACAGGTGTAGTATCTTCGACGTAACAAGTATAAATAAACATAATTAGGTGTATTCATCATAGTGCTATAAATGATGTATCACTCCTCACTATATTCATTTTTCTCAGTGGTTGAGTCACAAAAATATAGGAACCTAGTTGATTAAAAATGAAATCTTATAATGAGTATTCAAATATGCTACACGGACATAATGACCAAATGTCAACAAGTTTCTATCAAATTTCACTAATCACTAAATCTTAAAGGAACAGATTCCGCCAAAAAACATGACACAAATAGAAGGAAAAAATCACAACGGTAAGTTGTAAATAATTTCATCTGAATATACAAGCTCAAACAAATAGATAATTGAAGCAGACGTATAAAACCATTTTCAGGTATGCTTATGAGCTGATAGTCTATGTGATTAACATGAGGAAGCTGCACATACTTGATCTAATAGATTAAATCATCTTGTTTAAAGCATACAGAATTCCTTATTTTTTAAAGGTAAAACATAGAAATGGTTTATATCCCTTAACTACAGGTTATGATATTATGCGTTTCATTTTGATGGTTTTAACAAGAGGCAAATTCAACTGATTGGTATGTTGAGTTTTCCGACGATGAAGCAAACACAAGTGCAGTGGCATGGTTTAGGATGTCAGCTCGACAATTTGTATGCTTTTATTTCTAACAGTAAGAAATTTCAAAGATTCTAACATGTGTCTTCTTTTTAATAGAAAATAACACATTTAACTTATGTACTATTGTCAAATTAGAAAAGAGCAACAAAAAACCTACAAGAAAAAAATGTGATCCAGAGTATTTTCCAAAAGATATTTGTGTATCCTCTGATATTGATCCATCTATGGTGCAGTCTATGATAAAGGTAAAACATAGAAATGGTTTATATCCCTTAACTACAGGTTATGATTTTTTGTGTTTTGTTTCGATGATTTTAACAAGAGTCAAATTCAACTGATTGGTATGTTGAGCTTTCCGATGATGAAGCAAGCATAGGTGCAGGTGGCATGGTTTAGGATATAAGCCCGACAACTTGTATACTTTTATTTCTAACGGCAAGAAAAATTTTAAAGATTCTAACATGTGTCTTCTTTTTAATAGAAAATAACGTAATAACTTATGTATTATTGTGAAATTTAAAAAGAGGAAAAAAACCTACAAGAAAGAACTTGATCCAAAGTAATTTTCAGAAAATATTTGTGTATCCTCTAATATTGATTCATCTATGGTGCAGTCTACGATAAAGGGTATGGATGAGAAGCGATATAGCTACAATTAGTTTAACTTCTCCCAAACGAACAATTCTTTACAAGATTATCAACTACATCTTTTACCTCCAAAGAAACTTTCAAACTTTAAATTGTTTGTATAATAGAGTATATTCGGTTTTTATAAGACATACTTAGCACTCCTGCAATATTTTTTATTATACATGAAATAGTTAAAAAAAGAAATATACATAACAAGCAGACAAAAAGTTAAGAACATTAACTTAGGAAAGAAAAAAAAAGGAACATTACTTTTTACATGCTTAAATAGCACAACAAAATCCCCAATTTTAAGCTGTTTGATTTACATTTAAAGTTTTTTCCAAAAATGGTTGAACTTATATAAAATGTTCTCTTAATTCTGACCCGACTTACCTTCTTATTTAAAGGTTGGGCTTTTAACTTTGTCTGTGCACCACCGTGTCCTTCTGATTTCTGCTCAACACTGTACAGTTGAAGAACAATGGTAAGAACATGAGTGTATTTGAATACACATAGAAATTATATTCAGAAGAAAGCATGGGTGCTTGCAAAAGAGGTTGATATTTCTAAGTTTTATCTTTGGCGTATGTTCATATATTTAGTGCCAGCTGTGAATTTGGTCCAAATTGTCTAATAAAGGAACATATATGGAGATTTAGTACCACACTAAATAAAATGGTTATAGGAATATGTACTATGGTCAAATATGTCTGGACACATGAATCAGATAAAATCTTTCTGAGTCAATGTCATCCTCCACACATCACCTAAAAGAGTCATCGCTACACCAAAATACACAAGAAGATCAAAACGGTTTACGCCATTCCTATAGCTAATTATGTGTCATTTACAAGAATGGGAATTGTTCACTACTGTTAATGATAGATTGCAAACCTCAGGAACAAACTAAATTTGCAAAATGCTCATTCTTAGATTAATCTCACTAACCACCATACATGAAAGTAATTCATTCCCTTGTTTAAAAACCTCAAAAGACAAACTAAATTTTCACAATCACGATTGTACTCGATTGAACAACCTACAAAATTGTATATAAAGCAATAACATTACGAAACGAGAGAAATCAAAAGTAAGAAAACTAAGAAGGAATAGTTAGAAAAGGAATATCACTTTCGAAATATGGCTTTATTTAGTTATTTACATAAGATATATAGCAAGACTTAGTCTCTAAAAAATTATATTAATTTCTAGACTATATAATTGTGTTATGCGTGTATTTGTCCTGGATATTACTTGCTACGCACTGATGTGTCTATTTACATTGTAAGAGGAATGCACTCAGTATATTATGTAGCTAGGATCTGAAGTTTAAGTGTTAATTAGTACTCAATTTTAACAACATCAAAATTAAATAGTAAAGTGTTATGTTGCATATGCATATTTCCAACACACTCAGATGATACATTATGAATCTTTTCAAAAGAGAGATACAATTAAGTTTGTAGCACTAATAAAACTATTGTTATAATTACTATACAAACTATATAAATCATTACTTTTGAAAAAGAAATGTACCTTGCTTTCCTTGTTGTAGTTGTTGGTTATTTTTAATCATTATACCTAGGAGAAAAAAACAAAAATATGAACTTAGTATTATCCCTTATGCAATTTTTCAAGGTAGCAAATGTTCAATTTTAAAAAAAACAAAAATATGAACTTAGTATTATCCCTTATGCAATTTTTCAAGGTAGCAAATGTTCAATTTTATACTGAAGACCTATAAATTATGCAATTTTTCAAGGTAGCAAATGTTCAATTTTATACTGAAGACCTATAAAAGGTCATGACTTTTTATCTGAAAAATAAACATTAGATAGACACTGGCCAAAAAATTTTAAAGCTCTAAAGATGAACTAATAAATTTGAAAACCATATCTTATAATAATCATAAATCATAAATGAATATAATTGAAATATCAGTGATGCAACAAATAAAATAAAACACAAGTATTTAACACACAAAACAATATCATTCTTAAGGTTGATGTTAAAGAAACATAAAGAGGCAAACATAAGTTTTTTATTACATAATTAAAGCTAATAAAAACAACAGAAACTTATAAACTTTTCCAACACTACGATTGACAAACTCATAGACCTAAATTTATTTCATTGTGTTGATATTTATTTTTCTAAGACTCATCTCAACTTTTTTTTTCTCCTGACGAAATTTCCAGATAGCTGCTAGAATGCCCATAGTTTAAGTAAACATTTTATCCACTTCTTCATCATCTTTGATCTTAGCAGTAAAAGAAACATTCAACAGTAGTATGAGCATTTTCGCTAGGGACGTAATCAGGATCTGAATCCTTAACCTTTATTTTTTTTGTTAACTTCATAAGAGCTTTCCTCATCATCATCATAATACTCCTTAACCGATGATTCTTCTTCATCATCATATAGTCTGAAGTACAAATTGCTTGCTTATTGGTTGAGTCATGACCCTCATTTAACATCTTTTTCTTTTCGTCTTCATTGCTACTTGATGAAATATCAATAATTTTTATCCTTGGTAAAAGTTATAAACTCATATGGTTTGGAAACTGATTTGGGTGTTGTGCATTTCAACATCTGTTATGAAACCACAAAAGAATTATGGACATGCATAATGACAAGAAAGATGATTATTCTATTTGGTACGAACATTTGCTTTTCTTGAGATTGAATTCGCCAAAATGCCCTTAAAAACACAAGTGCCAACACAAAATTTTGGTTTAAAGGTATTTTCTTAATTTGTCAGGTTTTTTCATCTTCAAGCATATAGGATGCATGACATGATAAATTGACACTATGGTATTTATAAAAATTTAACATGTGTGAGTAACTTTCGATGCATATCATTGTAAGCGTGTATGTGTTGGGTTCTGGTGCTATTACAGTCAGACATCTAAAACATAGAGACCCAAGTGCTATTATGACTTAATAGTTACTAATGCACAGAAATGGACTGTTAAGTTTCAGAGATAAATGAATTTTAGAACGAATAAGGTGAATACATCTCAGCATTTGTAGCTTGCCTTAATCTTTCAAAACTGAGCAAGTATTTTAAAACAATCCAAATTCGTTTGTAAATTAATTTACAGTTTTATGCAATGTTGTTGAGATCATGCTCATAGTTAAGGCATAATTTCATTGGTACTCTTAGTTAACACTATATAGTTCATACAAAATAATTTACAGGAGATTAGACTGTGCTCATTTCCGGATCACTAATACACATAGAAAAGACTTCATGGATCGAATTTTATCAATATCATAAATTGACTATCAAACTCATTTATTAATATCGGGGAAATTTCCATTACCTTTAAAATATTTTTAGAAACTAAAATAACACCTATCTTACACAGGTAAGAACAACATCGGCTAAAAATATTTTTAGAAACTAAAATAACACCTATCTTACACAGGTAAGAACAACATCGGCTAGGTGATAATTTAAAATTATGAATGGGCTTCGTAATTATCTAAGCAAGTCAATGTTTGAAAAACATGCATGTAGGAGCAAGCAAAACAATTACAAAGGGAAAAAGAAGATATCTTTTAAGGAAAAGTAAACAAGATCGTTAACTGTAATATTAAATAAAACTAAAGTGTCTTATAAATCAAAATTTCCTACATCAATTCATAGCACGCAACTCTTTGCAGTCATTTTTGTGCAAATATGCATCAGTCCTCTTAGTAAATAAAGTACTTAATAAGCAGAATCATATAAATAAAATGCATAAAGGTAAAACAGAAGGATGCCACTTGTAATATGAATATCACAAAGGTGTTTACAAATGAACTTGACATTTAAAAAATGAACCAAATTGTCCATATAAGCAGAAAAGATAGCTTGAAGATTTGAAAACTACGTTATGGTACTTTCAGTACAGTTACGATTCACATGTCTTGCTTGTCTCTGTTCACATTGTGAGTTAAAATATGTAACAAGTAACATATCAAAGAACCAAAAAAGATCATTTTGAAATTTAAAATAAGTTATAGTCATCATTAGTTCATATGTTATTTCTACACTCTACTCAATGGTTTAACATCCCAGGTTGATAAAAAAAGAGAGAGAGAAAAGCCAAAGTTCCACAAGGTTGAAGAGGGGTTGTTTAAGTTTTGTTCACTTCACATCAGGCTTAAATATCTTATATAGTGTGCCCAGTTCATAACTTCTGAAAGCATAAAACTATCTATAATATAGGGTAACTGACCTAAGCTGGCAAAATTTCTATGTAATACATGTAAACATCTATGGTGAATCCGTTGGATTCACACAACTTTGTATTTCTATATTATGTACCAATGGATGCATATATGTATGTATGTTGTTCAGTCGCGCACCAAAGATATATGCAATGGCAAACAAGTACATGTACATACACAATGTAAAAGGCAAGCACATTCATATTTGGTCCATTTCTAGTTTCAAGCACAGCTCATATTTATCAATTGATCCTAATATTGGGCATGGAAGTAGTTATAAAACAGCTTAGATGTTTGTCAAGGTTATTTGTAAAAGGTTGTTTTAACTGAATATAAAGTGAGGCATGAGCTATTAACAATCAGCACACACCAAACCCTATCCATATTACTTGCCCGACCATATGTAATTTGGGAATATCAGGGGTATGGGTTTGTATGAACTATTAATTTTCTGAATGGCTCATGCTTTATTTGAGCTATTTGCCAAAGAGTCGGACCATACACAACATTTACTTTCCTATAGACACGCTTGGTAGGTCCCTCTCTCTACCTTAAGATCTAAAAGCAAGCTACAGTTTTCCAACTTAAGCTTCCAGAAGCTTCATTAGCTATTTGTCTATGTTTTGGCAAAAATCACTAATTTGGTCACATCAAATACTGATTCTCGGTTTGCTGATAACATACATTTTAGTGGAAGGAGAAACCTCCATCACTTTTTTCAAGTATCGAGCAACGGTGATAATTCAAGCATACCTTGATATAAAAACAGACAGATTTTCCCGATAAGTTTCATTGCCAATATCATGCATAATGACAGCTGTAAATAAAGTGGACTGAGAGTATGAGTCGGACACTATTATATCTACATATTTGGAAAATCTAATTTCTAGGTTTGGTCTTGACTCTGAAAGTTCAGTAAAACATGGAATAAGAGGACATATCCCTGATCAGTTTCTTGAACTGCCCATGGAGAATTGTGTACATGATATTGGCACTTGTGTTTTTAGAGGCATTTTTGGGAATTTAGTGCTCTTAACATGCATGTCCATATAGGTAGTTTCGCATATCCTTTTTTCACGAGCATTTGTTATTGCCTCCCTTGTATGGTTACCTCGACCAAGAATTTGAACTAAATCATAGAGAGTTAACATCAGGTTTGTTAATTATTAATCATTTAGTTTAACATGCAGGATTATCATCAATCATCAAATAAATTATAAATGCCATCTAAAAGTTCCTCTTCTCAACAATAATTTAAAAAAAAACCTTGAGATAACAGAGATAATAACAAATAAGGTAAGTCATGAACAAATCAACCAATCAACAAGCAACGAGAGAGTAAGAAATAAGAATAAGAATAGGAAAAAATCACAACTTACAATTGAAACGTCGTCTGTGCTCCATCAAAACTGAAGCACTACGTTATTTATACAACCGCAAATAAGCTTAAATTTTAGTTAAGAAATGTAAAGCTCTAAAATCAGTAACGTTAATAATAAAGGCAAAAACTGAGGGAAGAATTGAAGAAATGGAAGAATCCTAAGAATCATAGAGGAGGGGGTTGGGGTTGAAAACCCGAAGAATCGTAGATGAAGAAACGGAAGAATTGAAGGAATTGTAGATGAAGATGCGGGGAGGAGCGGGTGTGTGGAGCGGGAGAGGAAAGGTCGGTTAAATGAGGGAAGGGGGGGAAGCTGATGAATAATGGGATGGTACACTCAATAAATACGAACAAATATAGGATGAAGCAAATTGATTGGGGGTAGAATTGTCATACAAAAGTTTTGATACTTGTTTTCTCTTTAGACCATCTCTCTCCTGCCACATCACTTTATTTAATTCAATAATCTTCATTTCCCTATCAACTCTATAGCAGGAGATTTTTCAGAAAGTTTTTTACTTTATTTGGGACCCACCATAAACCACATCACTTCAACATATACCCCACCATATTTATTCATTCTTTTTCCTATTTCATATATATTACTATTTTATTATTATTATTATTAATATAACTCATATATTTATAATTATAATTTATTAATAATTCAATAAATAATATATAATATTTAAATATATATTATTAATTTAATTTTCAATAATATTTTTAAATTAACATAAAATAACACACGATTTTATTAAGCATACGGAAAACCAAACACACCCAAATTATTGAAAACATGCCAGAAAAACACACACTAAATTGGTAAATCTAATCATAGGTTGTCCCAAACTTCTGCCAAATGTGCTCGATGAGATCCTTCTTCAGCTGAATATGTTGGGTCTTATCTCGTAGTTCCGCTCTAGTCTGATTATCTGCCTCAGATCGGTGTTGAACATGGACTTGAAACTCCGGCAACACGTCTGTTTGAACATTGAAAGAGGCGCTAGAGCTAGCATTGTTCGACGGTTCAAAGTCGATATTTTCCCAGTTTCGCGAATACGTATCTCGTTTATCCTCTACTATCATGTTATGTAAAATAATGCACGCCCTCATTATTTTTCCTAAGACTTCAAGATCTCACATTCTAGCTGGTTGGCGGACAATAGCGAAGCGTGCTTGGAGTACCCCGAATGCGCGTTCCACGTCCTTCCTGCATGATTCCTGTTGTTTGGCAAAAAATTGATGTTTGTTGTCTTGGGGCATTTGAATTGACTGCACGAAGACAGGCCACTTAGGGTAGATTCCGTCATTGATGTTTGTTGTCTTGGGGCATTTGAATTGACTGCACGAAGACAGGCCACTTAGGGTAGATTCCGTTGGTAAGATAGTATGCAAGATTGTACTCCCGCCCATTCACGGTGAAGTTTACCCGTGGAGCTTCACCATACTCAATGTCGTCAAAAACCGGTGACCTATCTGTAGGATCTGAAATAGATACACTAGAACACTAGAGGGGGGGTGAATAGTGTTCTCTTAAAATTATTGCAAAGTAGATAATAAATTGCAAAGAAAGATGACAATCTCAGAAATTTGCAAACACAAACACAAGGATTTTATACTGGTTCCACCAAACCGGTGTACATCCAGTCCCCAAGCAAATCCCGCTTGAGAGTTTTCACTATGATTTTGAATAAACTTACAAAATCAAACCCAAACCTGACCAATTTGCAAGTCCCTGCAAATTGCAACACCAATTGACAAACTCCTTGTCAATTTGAACACCAATCTCTAACCCAAGAGACTAACCCTCTCACAACCGAGAGAAAACTTGTTGAAGAAGAACACAATGATCCTATAAGCCTTGAATGTGTAATAATGTGCAGCAGTGGCTTAGGATTCTTTTAATCAGAATGTTTTTCACTTGGAAAATTGCACAAGAATCAAAGCTTATGGGTATGTATGCATGTACAATTTTTTTGAACAAATAACCTATATATAGCCCTTGAAAAGACAAGTTTTTAAAGTTTAAAAACGTTTAAAAACGGCCAAAAACTGTCAGATATTCAAATTCTGAAAACTGAAAAACTGTCTCTTGTAGTCGACTACTGTAGTCATTAGTCGACTACACTGAGTTCAGACAGACTCTGTGTTTTCGGAAAATGTTCTTAGTAGTCGACTATAATTCTCATTAGTCGACTACACTGTAATTTAACAGAAACATGAAAACTGACATTTTCTTCAGTAGTCGACTATAATGTTAATTAGTCGACTATACTGTAAACAGACAGAAACTTGTATTTGAGTTATATACATGAGTAGTCGACTACTATTCTAATTAGTCGACTATTAAGATCAAATATTCAGAAATAATGAGTTTTTATAATTAAGTTTTAACTACTATTCTAATGGTTAACATAGGGGATTTCTATAGTTAACCAACACACTAAGCCTGTGTTAGTGTGTTCTAAAATTGTGTGTGTGTGCGTGTGTGTGTGATCAAGGCTTGTACAAATATTCTAAGCAAAGAAAAATTCAAATACATTATCTTTTGTTCTTCATTTTCTTCACTTCAAAATGCCTTGATATCCACTTGCACTTGTACATATTCTGATATTGAAATCTGCATATGAAAGTTAGTGCACACACAATATAAATTGTTATCATCAAAACATTATCATGGAGAAATGATATTCAACATTCTCCCCCTTTTTGATGATAACAAATAATTTATGCATCATATTAAATTTTAAAACATGTAATACTTACTCCCCCTGCATATATGCAAAGTTTTTAACATTCATAATAAAAATTAACATTTATAATAAAAAATAAAAGTTAGTTAACTATTTCTCCCCCTTTGTTATCAACAAAAAGAATAACCTAAACATAACATAATTTCGTCAACATGAGCTAACACTTCAAACAAATCATCAAGGTTATGAACATAGTCCATAACTTCACCCATCCATATTGGTAAGCAAAGACTTGCCATAAAGACCACAAGTTCCATAATGTTCATCACCATGATCTGTTTAAAATATATATAGCAGTTATATTAACTAACCAAAATAGTAGAAAATTTAACACATAATAGTAGAAAACTTAACACATAATAGTGCAAACTTGACATAATAGCAAACTTAACATACAGTCATATTGTAGCAAACTTGACATAATAGCAACACAACCACATAGTTTTAAGCATAATGACAACCACATAGTTTTAAACATAATAACATAATTGTTTTAACCAAAAAACAGAAACAAGCCCTAAGGTGCTGGAGGAGGTTGTTGGCCTTGAAAATATGAATTAAGCTTTGAGTCCAAGTCTTCAAACTTTTTGATTAAGTCTTCTTGATTACTGATGATATATCTGTTCTGTGCATATATAGCTCTTTGACCAGTTTCCAGTTCTAGGATACGTGCACTCAAAGTATTGTATTGCACGTCTGAAAAACATGAAGGTTCAGTAGGAAATGGTGGAGGTTGACTTGAAGAGGCTCCAGCTTGAGTTGAGGTTTGTGGAATATCTTCTTGTTGAAGTTCAGGTTCATTTTGAACAGGTTCATTTTGAGGATTGTGATCTTGGATTTCAAAATTTATCAATTTCATCCTAGTTAGGGCATTTGAATTAAAAAATTCAATTGAACGGACAACAGATTTTTCAGATTTGAGATCAACATGGAATTTATCAAAGATCTTAGATAGGAATGCACCATAAGGAAGAAATCCTCTAGGAATAGTCAGAAAATTATCAAAATAAACCTCAGCCCAATTAACTTGAATATTTCCCATAATAGCATATATAGCTTTTGCTAATTCTAGGAAAATGAAATGAAAACTTCCAGTTTTTGGAAACAAGTTATAGGCTAGAATACGAGCAATGAACCTAGGAAATGGACGAAGTTTGTTTGAATTGTTCAAAGGTTTTCCATGTCCTGGAAGAAATATGTGATTGGATAGCAAGTCTGAATCATTCATCCTAACAGAGCTAAGAGAAACTCCTTGATAAGGAATGTTGAATATTTTACCAATTGTTTTAGTAGTTAATTCAATCTCCATTCCTTTAACAAGGGTTTTAATTTTTTCAGAACCACCAATTGTACCCACACGTTCTATATTGGTATAGAACAATTGCACAAGAAATGGGTATGATGGTTTCTTATTTTCAGCAGAAAATAACTCAAGCAAGCCCACATTTTCAAAATAAGAACTAAAGTTCCATGGAATGAAATCATCGAACTTCACAAATCGTCCTGGAAGAATTTCCAAAGATGATAGTCTGTTAAATTCTTCCAATAATTCAGGACTTCTTAAATAAACAATGATTTCATCATTTAGGGAACTGTGAGTTTGCTTAGCTTTCTTAGATCTAGACATGATGAACTAGATAAATAATAAGAGAATAAAAGAGCAAGTTTAGAATTATACCCCAAACTGTAGAAACCCTAGATTAGCCGACTATAGCCTGGATTAGTCGACTAATGAGCCTGATAGCTTGACAAGATTGAAAGACAAATAAAGAAATTGATGAGGAAATTTTAGAAACAAGAAAAGCCCTAACCTGGAATCGGTGAAACTGAAGAGAAGAAGATGGGGAAGATGGGTTTTCGGTTTTGGGTAGAGTTAGTGGGTTATTTTTGCTTTTTAATTTATCTTTTAATAATGTAAGGTTTAGATTAGATGGTAAATAGAATGTAGGGTCAAGATTAAATTTTAGATGAATGGTTAGGATTGGTGCAGTTAAAAATGAATGGAAGAATGGTTGAGATGAATTTTACTTAAGTAAAACGGGTATGGGTATTGGGTTTTGGGTTTAAAAACAGAAAATATCCACTTGTAATAAAAACTGAATGTTCAGAATTAGTAGTCGACTAATAGTCAAAGTAGTCGACTATACTGTAAATGACAGAAAGATGAGTTTTAGATTTTAACTCAGAGTAGTCGACTAATCTGTATTGTAGTCGACTACACTGTAAACAACAGAAAGTTGATTTTAAGAATTTAACATTAAGTAGTCGACTATAAAGGTAAGTAGTCGACTATACTGTAATTTTTCAGAAAAAAAATTATTAGTAATACTTGTGCATGTAGTCGACTATAAGTCACATTAGTCGACTATTTAAAGTATAAATTTATATATGTTTGTTTTAAAAATTAATTTAAATCTTCAATTGAACATATACCTAATTCTCTTCTTAATTTAACATAAACTTCTTCTTTTAGGGGTTTTGTTAATATATCTGCAATTTGTTTATCTGTAGGTATAAACTCTAATGATATGTCACCTTTAAGAACATG